CAGATGAGAGTCAGCCAGGTACACACACACACACACACACACACACACACACCCCTGTACCCTCTCACCTGAACACACACTGACAGTTTGTGTGTGTGTGTCTATCTGAATGTGTGAGTAGCTGAAGGAGGCGGAGCAAAGAGCAGCTCAGGAGGAGGAGCAGAGGAAACTTCAGGTCAGTTGTGTCACTCACATGATGTTTAAAAAAAACTTTATCGATAGTGTTTCAGTGTTATGTGTAGCCGTGGTTGACATGTGTCGTGCTGCGTGTTCAGGAGGAGCTGGAGGCGTTTGAGAAGCGTCAGCAGCGAGGAGGTCGGCGGAATAAGAAGCGGGGGAGGAGGGAGGAGGTGGACGACGAGCAGGGGAGAGTGGGGAGGTGGTGGAGGATGTGCGCCGCCGTCGTCCTCGTCCCACTGGGTGGAGCTCTGCTGTCCGCCGCAGCCTACTACCTCCTCACCACGGCCTGAGCCAACACGTGAACACACATGTTGACAGGAACATGTGAGCACATGGCTGCGTCTCTCTGAACTTTCTCTTTTCATTCTTTTGTCTCATTCACTTGTTTTTCTGTCGTCTTTTTTTGATTGTTCTTTCTTTTATTAAACAGTTTTTGAAATTTGATGTAAAATCAATGATTTAAAAAACCAGATCTAGGGCTGAAGTTTAAGATAATTTTCATTATTGATAAATCATTTTTTTTCCATCAATCGATGAGCTGACAGTTGATGAGGAAAAACAATTTTTATGAATTTTATCATTTTTCATCTCAGTTTGCGAACAATTCACTGATTTGGAGGAAAACCTGAAGAAGAAATAAACACTCAACGACTCAAACATCAATCAACATAAAAACAGAAACAGGATGTGATGTTGCTGTTGCTCTTTGATTTAACGCTATTGATTATCTTCTGTATGTTTCGAAAAGTTTTGATTCACAAAATTCATTTTTGGGTCAAAACCTGTAATAGATTTCTTCACTGATGTGAAATGTAAGTTTCTTTTGTTAATTTGGTGAAAAAAATTAAATTAAATAAATAAATAAAAAAGTTGATATTTTGATGTGGAGACGTCTCCGTTAGAAATGTCCGAAACTGTAAACACGTCTTACTTTGGTGCTGAGACATTTAACAGATGTTAGAACGTTAAGATATAATTTTGTCTTTTTTTAAAATGAAAATAAAACGTATAAAACTGTTATCGGTTTGTGATTTTACGATCAAAGTTAAGGTTGTTATTCAGAAACCAGTAAAATTCTGTTCATCGTGCTCTCACTCTGGTTTTTCCACAGTTTTGTCCCGCATGTGATGTTTAGAATGAAATGAGATTTGTTTACAGGAGTGAACAGACAGGGGGCGCTGTTCCTCCAAAAGCAGACAGGTAAAAGACAATGAGCTGTGATGCTAACAGAAAGTTTTCAAAATGAAGTTATTTAAAATACTGTTTTCTTTTAAAGTAATAAATAATTCTGTAGGAACGAGCTGAGAATCCACAACACATCTCATGCATGATTTTACAGAATAAAACTTTCTTGAATCTATTTTCAATCTTTAAAATAACTGAACTACACACATACAGAGAGTTTAAGTTCCTACATTTTTCTGTTCACAATTTTTTATCTGCAATGTCTTGTATTTTATATTTGCTGTTTGATAGGTAACATTATCAAGTACATGAGCAGAGGAGAAATTTGAGAATGTGAGCGCGAGGTGAAGAGCTGGAGCGAAGGAAATCTGAGTGCAAGCCACAAAATATCTGAGGGCAACACTGAAGCAGGAGCTGGTCGAGTGAGAGCGCAGGTATTTTCACCCGACGCACTCATCTCGAATAAAGAGAAGAAGGAAAAACACAACGTTTACAGGAAAAAGGGTTTTGTTGAGAGAGGCTGAGAGACATGTCCTGAAGACATGTCCTCACTGAACATCTGAGACAAACACGTCAATCACAATGAAGCTGAGGAGAGAGAGAGAGAGTTGGGATTAAAGCTACAGACTGTCCCAGCATGCACTTGATGAGAAGGTGTGTGTGTGTGTGTGTGTGTGTGTGTGTGTGTGTGTGTGTGTGTGTGTGTGTGTGTGTGTGTGTGTGTGTGTGTGTG